CCTCACAGGGTTTACTCATAGTCAACTTTAAGCTGTAGTAGCAGCTCTTCAGAAAAATTCCACTTGATTGTTAATTAAAAAGACTTTAGAAAATTAACACTGGGATAAGTTTTGTACATACTGCTAAACTTCACTTCTAACATCAGGTATCAATGATGTTTAATTCACAATATTTTATTGAAAACTTCTATATGCACTTACTGTCTTCAGCAGATGGCACCTGTCCAGCTTGGCTAAAGATGACACTGGCTGCTGCTAAACAGTGTCGGGACTCCATAAAGCATTGCTGAGAGAAATAGAAACGGCAGTGTTTATCACTGGCATAAGCAGCCCAAGCACTGCTCTCAGCTTGGCTAAACCCCTTGCCACAGACAGTAAAAATACATGAACACAAGGGAAAATGGATCTGAGAGGCTCTGGAACATATTCCCCTGGGCACTGGAAGAAGAGATACAATTTTTCCACATCTGCTACTGAACACAGTATTTTCTAACCCACCGTTTTGTCCCTGCCACAGCCACAACAGCAAGCCTTGCTCGCTTTTAATATTAGATACGTACACTGTGAACAGTCTCACTGTTCTGATCTGTGCTACTATCGCTTCCTTGCGGTAAAGGAAGTGATGTCTTGTGGTAAAGATTGTATCAGGGGGTGTCAGTCATAATGAGCTGGACATACAAGTCAATGTTACGAGTCAGATTTAGATTCCTCTAGTCCTATTCGGCAATGCATTGCTTAATGACTAGTGCTATCAATGCATCAAAAAGACGTGGGAATTACATGTTACAACTGAAATTAGCATTAGGTGCCTTTGGTATGGCAGAAGTCTTCTAAGTAACAGAAAAGAGCATCTGAATAGTCTGGAACATAGAAATTCCTAAATAAACCTGAAGTATTTCCTAACAGTGGATGATTTAGAGTCAACACAGACGTGTTGAAACAAACAGGTATCATCTTACCTGTTTGCTTGAATATTCACATAGGCTCAAACAAGTCTTAAGCACATGCTAAAGTACAAAGGACAATAACTGATAGGAAACATACAACGTGCAATACCTCAGTCTTAAGGTGGTTTTGTTTTTAAACTCTGTATTGTAAGATAACAATATGACTATAAGAAACAATTTAAAATTAATTCAACATGGTACCCTTTTTCAAACAGCTGTTTAAACAGTTGTCTTATTTTATAGTTACATTTATGATGTAATTACAGCAGAAAAACTTTTGGTGTATTACCTTAGAGAGATAGTACTGTGACAAAGTAGCAGCATTGAGCGCCCATTCTACCGGGTAGTAGCCACAATACTCAAGCTGTCGTTTAAGGGTAGTATGGCAATACTGAGCAGCCTTCTCAATCATCTCCAGGTGTTGGTAGACTTGTGCCAGGTAATACAGAGTATGTGTATAGGCTTTTTCAAATCTGGAAAAAACAACAGTCGCTTTAGACTTCTTCTTTTTTCCTCCCTAAATATACCCTCATAAATTACAAAAGTAAATTACAAAAGTAATAATAATCTAGGTATGCTGTTATGCACCCACCTTTTGGATCTTTCTTGGTCTGTGAGTTTTTCCTCTTCTGACATGAAATGTTCACTGGGATCCAGGGGAGGATTTCCATCCTGCAAGAGTACATGATGCATTCAGTAAACTACATTTCTCCCACTTTGTAACATAGTGCTCCCTCTTCTGGCTGCAGGCGATTAACCATTTTTCAATCCCAAATTCAACAAAAACTTCACATAACCCATCTACATCTACCTGAATGCCACACCTCTGGAGCAATTCCACAGAACTCAAGAGATTTAGAGGAAGAAAGACACAATTCTACATGGAATTACAAGGTTTTCAGCTTGTAGAAGACTTCTGCTTACATACTTTAAAGTAATACACATGCTGCCTGCACCTGAAATATTCCACATGGATTCTACAGGACTAAATTGGGTATTTTTAGTTTGAACAATAACATAATGGTTTTTAAGGCATCCATTTAATACTAAGTGTGCTTTCAAGTATGAAATATAAGCACGCTCAGCTGCACTAATCAGTAACAAGAAAACATCCTGCAGGAAGTACTGCAAAGAACATTATGTGCAGAGTGCTCAGCAGACCTGCTGCAAAAACTGCTGCTGCCACTGTGAAATGACACCCTTGATTCACAAGCTAGTAAGACTATTTATTTAAATACATGAATGAGACGACAGGCAATGTCCTTGGAGGATGGAGCTGCTAAACCTTGATATAAGGCATGACCTACACACAAGTTATTAAAGATAGGAACTACTTCATTTAGAAGTGATTTTTTGGTTTTCTTTAAACCAGGAGTTCTGTCAGAATCCTTATACAGAGCTAGCTCTTGTGACACAAACAAAATAGTTTATTTTCCTTGCTCAAGGATGGAAAGTAAGATATTGCTGTGCATGTAGAAGTAACTGATTTTAAACTTATTTTTGTTCATCCTGTGACATTAGTTTCTGAGATGAAAGCAGAATGGTGACAACTATACATCTTTCAACAGTGCTCTGTTCAACCTTTCCTTAAAACAACTGTCAATAAAGTTAGGGTCAGCATAACTGGCAAAGCCAACAGATGAACATTGCTTATGGCAAAGTTTTATTAGTCTGTGCTTATCTAATTTCCTTTGTAATCGTGAGTAAGTTCAGATGCCAATTCTAACACACTTCAAATGAAGATGTCTTTCTTAAAGGTGGCTTTTTACCATTACACAGTGCATCCTGAAGGATGTTCAACATATCTGCTAGCAACAGAGCTTAGTTTAGTATGCAATTTTCCTAGCCCTTTCCTAAATCTATTAGTATCTTAGCCCAAGAGAAAGTAAGGCAATAAATAAGCAGGACTCCAGAGAATTACTTGTTATAAGATGATATAGACTCAAGCAGGAGCAACAGTAGAGAATGCATTAACTTTAAAGGGAAGAAAACATACTCTCATGTTCATTTTTCTTCTTATTAAAAATCGTGAAAGGATTTGTTTGTTTGCTTTCAATGAAATTTTTAAAATTCATCTTCAAAGATAAAAAATGGGTCTGAAACAGTTGGTGACAAATAAAAGTATGTTTAACCTACCAGAGAGGTATAAATTTTTACATGACCTTTTAATCTTTAGGGTTTTCTGTTTATACCTCATTAGTTTTTAAGTTATGAATTTATAACCCTCCCTTTTTAGAGGAGATTCTTTAGAGATACAAAGGCTTACAACCTTATAAAGGCTCTCAGATGTTCCAACAAGATTTGCAGTATATTCTGGCAAGACTAGAGCTGATATTCCTGCAAAGAAAGCAACTGAAATGACACAGTAAGCTAGACCCTTGTCTCCTTCCTGTATCTACAGATTTATCCTCTGATGTCAAGCCTTATGCCTTTAATCATCCTGAGGAAGAGCTCTGCAACTCTCCTCTTCCAGGTGGACTTCATTAGCCCAAGCTCCTGCCTGTAGAGTTCAGCACCCTCAGAGCTTCACTGTACTGCACTAAACAATCAAACAGCTTTCTTAATAGCAAGATGTTGTTACAATAACTAATTATTTTTTTAATAATTTAAAAATAGACATGAACTCAAAGAATTCAGGAGCAGAAAGTAAAAGAATCTTCTAATTCTACCAAAATAAGTTTTTTCTTACAATTGCCTTGGTTGTGCTCTAGTTGCTTTAGGGGGCAGAGGGGAAACAACCCCACCCAATTGGTAAGTTAATAAACAACCAAATCCACTAGTTCAGGAAAATGCCCCAATCACCAACAGTTTACTGAAGATTCCCAGACAGGGAAAAAAAAGTCTTTAGACATTTGACTATATAATGCCCTGAAATATAAATGGTAAATTAAAAAACGCTGGGGGGAAAAAATGTGACAAGTGATCTGATGTGGGCTTATTGACAGTCATGTATATATACCCTAGCCACATGGCAAAGCCCCAAGAGGAATATTCAGTAGCCATTACACAAAATCAAATGCAGACAACTAACAAAAAAATAACCCTTTCAGAAAACCTCATAATAAAAACATGAAGCATTTGGCAGTATTGTTTAATCCACCAAAATATATGGTAGTAACAGCACAATTCCATAATCACTGGAGCAAATGCCAGAATCTTTTACAGGCGATGTGGAAGCCAATAATATCATGCTTGGCTGGGTATAAATATCTAAATACCTAAAATATCTAAATATCTAAAAATCTAAGGAATTTGTAAACAGGGAGTCTGTAGAGAGATGCAGAGTACCTAGTTAGACCAACTGATCCAGGGGGTGGAAAATAAATAAACAGATGAGATTTTCAACACAAGTGGCTTCTCTTTTTCTTCCCTAGATCCTCTACCTCTACTGTCACTGTAGACCAGCATGACTAGAAATGTGGTAAAACAGCAGGAAGCAACTGATTAACCCATTCTAAAATTTCCAGAAGAATACTCCATGCTATAAACCAAGCTCATGTAAAACCTGAACTGCAATTTCATTAAACTAAGCTCTGTCCAACCCTTATAGCTGTCCTGAGACACAGATACTGCTCCTTTAAGGCCACAAATGTTTTTAGTTTGCTCACAAGCTGTCCCTGAGGCAAGTCAGTGTAGGAAGAGTTTTACAAAGAGCTTAAAAATAGCACAAGGGAGTCTTTGTTGATACGTGGCAGAATCCACAACTCAAAAGGTTGTTTAATATGCATGAGAGGTTTAGCTGTTTGTAAAACTGTCTTCTTGGATACGGAACTAAACTACTTGCCTCTACACAATATTTCATGGTCAGAGCAAACCGTGCAAATATTACAGTTTTGTTTCCTTTTCCCACTGAAAGCAATGCATTGACATTTTACAGCATTTCCAAGACAAGATTAAGAACAGTCTTAATTAAAAGCCAAATTCTACCTGGCTTCAACTTTGGATTATCAATTCAGAGAGCTTTCAAAAAGGACCATTGTTTTTTAGCAAAACTCTTCTCCTGAATAAATCCATTTTGAAATTAGCAAGTGATCCTCTAGTTTGCTTCTTCCTACGCTAGCAGTACAAATGATACCACTTTTCAAAAGTATCATAGCAGCCAGTATAAAGCTCAGGAACTCAAATTCCACCATATGTTTTTTCAAAGATTACTAAAACTGTAAGTAGCACATCAAAGTAAGACCTGCCACAATATTAATAAACACAATACCTCTTTCATGTATTGATTATACAAGGCTTCTGCAGATTCCAAGTAAGTCTGCGCAGTTTTAATTTCATCCCTTTCAGACCACAGGATACCTAGATTGTTCTAAACATAAAAGGAACAACAAAGTAGTTATTTTCCCATTATGGTCCATTTACATTACACTTTTTCTCCAAACAATTTATCAGTCTTTATCCTTATATATATATATATATGTTCTAATACAACAGATTTCATTTTTTCACAAGTTGCTCAAAAAGGAAGGGTCTCACACAGCGGCGAATATGTACAAAAGTCACCTAACAAACTGCAGTTTTCTGCGTTTACTCTGCTAAATTAGAACTGGTGTGTTCAAAGAACAAGCTGTTTCCACACAGTCCGTTCTGCATCTGATTCACGCAGCTTTTGTATCATATAAAAATATCATTAAAAAAACAAGGAATTAGAAATTTTGTCATCATGACTCTAAAAAAATGTAACAGGAAAAAGATACACTAGGAATTAATGCTTGTATATTTTCAACAATGAAAAGAGATTAAAAGAACTGTTAAGATGCAAAAGCAATGGGTTACTGCCTTCAAATTTAAATTACATCAATGTGCACAGTAACTTGTTACTACACCTGTGAAGCCACCTTTTACAAAAATGTACCTCTGATTTTATTAATAAAGATGAAGGCATTAATAACAACCCACATCTGATGTGCTAATTTAATTCCTAGAAAGTGTTATAAAATCCAACAGGGCTAAAAAAAAAAAAAAATTTTTAAAGAGAGTTAGAATGTATACTTGTACACCAGCCCTGTGTTCCTTTCCATTTCATTTATTTTATTATTTTTAAAAGACAGCACCATATAGGATGATGTTTATGAACAGAAATACTGTGCCTGCAGCCAAGCAGTGGAACATACTAATTTAAATTAGACAGTAACTGTCATAGACATCCTTATGCAGAAGCTCAGAAATTAGAATGAGGGCTACAGAAACAGGCTCAGCAAGAAAAAGGAATGCTCCTTCTTTCAAAATAGAAGTCAGTGCCATAACAACCTACTCTGTACAACCTAGAATGTGCCGATGGAGGAGTATGGCCACTGTTGACAACTACTGCTTTTAGATCAGATTTTTTTTTTTTTTTACTTAAATACTCAAGTCTTTTACAGCCCTGAGAACAGAAAGCTGAGGGCACGTTCATTTATCATCACTGCTCTCGGCTGCATGCCTCGTGATAGTAGACTTGTCTTCTTGGACCAGAGCACTTCATGTGTGTAACACAGAAACTTTATCCTACTGTTTCCCAAAGGCCCTAAAACAGGAAAACCCATGCAAAGATACCATTTGTCCCAGAGAGAAAAGTACTGCTTTCCAACACACCAGTTCAAAACCACAGTGGAATCCCTGGCCCTCAGCCACAACAGCAACAGCTCCCCAGGAACACACATTGGGAAGACATTATCTTATTTCGACTGGCTTCTCGGCAACCTCCGGTCTTATAATGGGTAATAGATTTGTACCTGAACCACCGCACTGAAGGGCAGTGAGCAGATGTCACCTCACAAATTCCAGACAACTCAGATAACTTAACCAATGTAAGACAAGTCACTGCTTAACTATAGCACCCTTCCGTGTGAACACACAGTTCCTTGACTGTTTTGCAATGTCTGGCAAAGTAGTACCAAGCCTTTCCTAATCAGAGCAGCCATTTTTGACAGAGACATCGAAATAACTGCTCTATTTCACTTCAAGTCTAGAGAGAGATATCTAGCTATATATCAGCTGCCGTGATGCAGCAGTTGAGCAAAGACTCAGCTCTTTTGTGAATCTTCTTATGACAAGTATTAATTTTGTTAATAGTATTGCTTTCCTCAGTATAAAGCAGTGGATATTATTACTTCTAGTCCTACAAAACTGTATTTACTCATCAGGAATAAAATATAATAGATTAAGAGACAAAAGGCAAGGCTGAAAAGTGAACAAGTGACAACATTCAAAAACAATTTACCTTCTCAGGATATTGCATAAATAAAATCACCCCCCAGCTTGACTTGGACAACAAATGACAGTTAAGGAATCACAAGTTCTGGACATACTGAGGTCTTCTCCTAATTTACTGTTGTTCAGTTCTTCTAAGTTCTGTCTCAGTCTATCCTGAAGAGTGCACTGCTTTGCCAACACCCAGTTTCTATTAAGAGAACACACCGTTAGATGCTCTGTGTGCCCAGAAGCATCAGCAGCAAGCCTGCAGGAGCACAGCATCCCTCAACTCCCTGTGCATTTCTTCCAGCAGGAACTAGACACCAGCAGCCCTTACGTTTGTTGCCATTACACAAGCCATACCATCAGGGGATCGCAGCGCCACGAATCCCCGTTACCCCCCTTTCCAGCCGGCTGCAGAGACCAGGCAGCCCGGACCACGGACACAGCAGCCCCCCGCCTCCCAGGACC